ATATATATATATATATATATATATATATATATATATTATATATACATATATATCTTTTTAGTTACATAATTAAATGAAAAGTTAGACGAAGCAAATATATCTTGACGCTAATATCGATATATCTCGTCCTTGTGTGACTTGTTCTCTCGAGGACTCTGCTAACCCTTTCGAGACGGAATTACGTTTCTCAAGTATTGCTTCGGTCCACATACAAGGCCACGAATTTCAAACAATACCATTTTATATGACAGTGTTTCTTGCCTATCAGGTGAAATATGGCTGACGACTCCTCATTGAGAGGAACTGGCTGAAATGTATCCTAATGAAATTGATTTTTCAACAGCTTCGAAGCAGGAGATTACCTCAGAAATTGTTGTGTCTATGTCTACCCTTTATGAGAGGAACGATTTATTCTCTTACTAAGAATAAATTAAGACTATGATGCATGATTCTTTAACGAAAATTACTTTAAATCATAAATTATGGTATCATGATTAGAAACTTAATGAAGTATCAGAACTTTTTCAAGCTAAATATTTTCATTAAAATATATCATCTTTTTTCTTTGTTTAGAAAGGGTTAAACATGTCGCTCGATTTATATATATATATATATATATATATATATATATATATATATATATATATATATATATACACATTATATATATATATATATATATATATATATATATATATATTTATATATATATACTATACATATATATATATGTATATCAACTAATCCTAATCACCAAATGTACACACTTCCACTCGCTCGCACACTTCGGCGAACACGAACGCATTTATGATTACGGTAAAGTTTCGTTGCGACGAATTCTATTGGAATTACTCGTATTGCGTTCGTTACAATGAAACGTCACGCGTTGTAACGTCACGTGTCATGACAGATCTACTTTGAATTTACGCAATTCTTGCTATAAATATATTCCAGTCGATCGTCGTTGCAATGAAACTTTGCCGAGCAGCTATTTGTCGCCTTGGTCGTCGCGTTTGTTTTTTTGTTTTTTTTTTTAGGAAGAAGTTAAGTACAGCTTGGCCTGAGATCAGATGACTAGCATTTCCGGTTGTTGTTCGCGCCACTATTCTGAATGCGCAAACGATCCTGGCGACGAAGACGCTTGCCTGTGATTTGCCGTACTTTGTTGCTTCTCTCCAGACGGCCTTTCTTCAACTTTTGAGATGAGCGTTTTTGCAGCATCTGTTGAAAACGAAAGTAACTTTTTAGTAAGATTTCTCCGGGAACTCGAATGAATTATTATTTAATGCTTCTGGCTCCTCGTCGCGGCTATATTGATTTATGATGTCAGAACCTAGAAAATACGCTAGAAATTTTTGTAATAAATACGTAGGAATAAAAAGATGTACCCATAACATGACATTTATAACCGATCATGCAAAACAACCCGAACACTTTCTTTTTGTCCTAACAAAAAAATAACTGTGACTAAATTAATGTGACAAAATCATGAGGAATTGTAAGTGAAAGAGGTAGGTTGCGTGTAACGTTAACTTCACGGTAATTTATTGATTGTTCGAGCAAAAAAAAGCGTTTGGACTATTTGACAGATGTGCTCGATCGATTACAAATATCATTTTATGTATCTTTTTATTTAACATGCTTTTTGCAAGAATTTTTATTGTATATTTTCTCGCTTCTGACACGATCAATCGAGAGTTTCGCAGCATGCAACCAAAAGCCTTAATCAATAGCGAGCAACTCGTTGATACCTTTTGAGCGGAACGGAGCTGATTCGTTATCCTAACTCTATTCTCACTTCTTTCAGACGCGAGCGGTCTGTCATCGTGGATGGCGGTTCTGTGCGCGAATTCGTTGAGGTCGGGGTTGCGATCTCGGTCTGGACTGGAGTCCAAGGACGTGGACGAGGTGGATAGCGTGGACGTGGAGGACATAAGAGCGAGCGGTACCAAGAGAATGCCTACTGGCTCTTCGAGCTCTTCTGTCGTGTCTGGCGTGGGAGGCGGAGTGTCAGGAGCAACGTGAGACGTCGTCGCACGGTAGACGGACATGCTGGGGTGCTCTATTAGCAGGTTCTCCATAGGCGATGTCTCCACGATTACGGGTCCCACCTGCGTGAAGCATGCGGGTGGTGTTACGTACCACGACTCCTCCAGCGCCGACGTGCCCTCAGCTGTAAGAAGAAGAGTTAATGTAATTAAATTGCAGATGCAAAAATGAAATATGGAAAAAATTGAAGCAATTACTATTAAAAGATTTACGAGAGAAATTAATATTTAGATTGAATTCCAATGTATTCATATTAATCACATTGATTGTTATCAATAGATAATTAAGTAACAATTTAGTTACCTGATTTTTAAATTTGAATTTCTCTCACTTGTGTCTACAGTCACTTTCAATTGTAATTATGAAAAATGACAGATTGCGTACCAGCTCGGTTAATGAGGATCCAATCATCGCCCTCGACCTCCATCTGCCTGAATCTTCGCATTATCGAGCGAGACGTTAAAGGATCGCTCTCGAGCGAGTCCTGTGTACCGGAGAAGTTCCCTCCGAACAGGTAGTTCACCAAGTTGCCCAACATCTTGACCCGTTACCGTCCGATGCCTGTAACGTGCGAAGCTAATGAGTAAGTAAATCAAGGAAATACTTTAATATGTAAATTCCACGAATGTACGAGTCCATTTAAACGTTATTTCGGGATCGTATTCTTAGGTTCTTCGAGATTTATGGATTCTAAAACGAATTCTTGGGCCGTTACATTTTGGGCTTCCGCTCTTCACCCTCGCTCCCGCTCTCTTCTATGCTCTCTTTTCCACCCCCTCTGTTTCTCATTCTCTCGCTCTCTTTCTCTCACTGTTGTATAATCTCGACGCGTTTCCGTGGGCGGGAGAGCGAGCGAGCGAGGCGATCACGGCGACCTTGATCTCGAATTTGCTTCTCTTCGGCTAGAAGGGCAGCGAGTCTCCCGGCGAGTAGTTTTCCTCGGTGCATAACCACGCGCCAACTAATACGACCGTAATCTGACAGATACACACGCGACTCGCGCAACCCACTCCTCTCTTTCATTCCAAGTCCTTTCTACCAAAGTGACGTAAGTCCTTCTATAGATGTATCGTTGTGTTAGAACGCACAATTTGCTCGCGTCGTACGTAGCGATTTATCTATATCTTACAGATACTTTTCGTTTAATTAGATTCCAATTAATATAAATTTCCATTACGAAGTTCACAAGAGATCAGTTTGTACGTGTTTGTCATGTGCGTACGTTTGTTCTTCCTAGCTATACTTTCTACGCTCGTTCCGTTTTCTCTTCCTCAAACGCTCAAAGCGTGAATATCTGCTTGTTTCATCTTGAGTAGAGGGTAAAAATACGGAGGGTAGACCTTGAACCGTCATCTCTTACTTGCAACGTGTCAAATAGAGCTAATAATACGTCTTTTCCAATTCGAAGTGTTATATAATATTACCCATAAAAGAAACTACTCTCCGTGCGATCTTTGATACGTTTATTATTGGATGAATAATTATTGTATACATATATCGATATATAGGGCGATACAAAAAGGAAATTTGAAAAGCTTTTCATAAACGAAATGCTTTAACATATATTATACCCAGGTAGGACACAAAATCATTTTAACATCAAGATGACATCATTTGACGTCATTTTAACTATTATATGACTTTGTGTTCTTCTTGAGATATTTTATAAGATAATGAATGACTCTTCTCTATTTTGTATATCTAAAATTATATATAAATTAATAATCACACTAGTTTAGAACGTGTAAAATTGTTCGCGGATCATTTAGTAGAGAAACTTAGAATGATGTAAGTTATTTAAGTAATCAATTAATGGCCATTGAATAACGAGATATATTATAAGCCAGTCATAGTGTTAGTTACTCGGACGACTGGTTACGATGCAAACTATTTCAGCGATCAATTAATCATGACTGTGCGAAACAAAAGCGACCGCGTGCACAGGCTGATAAAAAGATTCGCGGATACGCAGAAATAGTTCTGCGTTCTTCGCATCAACTACGTAGTTAATTATTACAGTCCGCGTAGTGCGCTCTCAGTTTGAATGTCGTCGAATGCGCGAATCAGAGTCGAATGCCACAAAACAAAGATAAATCCCGCTTGGAGGTAAATTCAATCGTGAGAATGTTCAATTCCGAAATTTAATAGCTCGTCGCTTCAGATTCTCGTCGGAATTAATAAATGCATCGAAACAATGTGCAATCGAATAAAAATCGTAGCTGTTGGAGGATACCCAGTACGTCGGATCTCGTAAACAATATTTTCTTAATACTTCTAATTACAGGCTTGCAAACGGCAATGGCACATTTAATAAGCGACTATATCAGAGACGAGATAGTTACAGATTGTATAATTTATTTTTACCATGACATCATCCCCTGGCTTATTCCACAATTGGCTGAATGACTTACATCATTCCCGAGCTCCGAGCGATTGCCTCGAGTGACAACGCTAGAATTCGACAGATTCGAGTAAAATCAATTCCTCGCTCGTTTCAAGAAATCATCCACAATGTTGCGCACGACGAACGTGAAGTATATTCGATCGAATGTGAAATTCAACGAACAAACAAATCGGATAATAACAACGATAAGGTGCAATCGATGATTTCGTGGCGAAAGCGCCTGGCAATCGCGTTCTTCTCGCATCCGATGCTCCGACCCGCAATTTCCCTCATTTTTCCGCGCACTGATCGCGATGATCGTCATAAAGTGGATCGCCGTGTGATGAAAAGAAATCGACAGACTCGTGCTTGCCGTCTCAGTATCGCGTTCTCTATTCACGTCAAAATTCTACAACAAACGACTCCTTCAACGACGAAATCACTTTCCTTCAGAAACGTCGAAGGGTCTCTGTCTTTTCCAAAAGCGTCTAGTTTTTTTTTCGAATTTCGCTCGTGCACTTTCCCCGTACACTTCGACTGACGCAGCGTTGACAGACGTATCACGACGCGCACCAACAACTGCTGCACAGATCATCAATATCAAGACACAAGTCGAGAAATTTTATTTTCTTAAGATTCAAAATCACAATTGTGACAAGAAAACGTTTAATATAGTAATAATTCCAGGTTTGTCTTCGTAATCGTTCTCGTCGTCATCGTCGCTGTCGTCGTTATCATCGTAGCCGTTGTCGTCGTCGTCGTCGTCTATGCTAGAGCGTCTCGCTATTCAAGTCGCTTCACCGCGTTTGTCGTCGAACGGCGTTCATGACGAAGGTGGCGGAAAAGCAAGTGGCTTAATGCCGCAACGACAAAGGAAGAGTTAGGATGAAGAACAGAAGGAAGAGCAGGCAAGCAAGGGCTCATCCTGACGATGACCCGAAAAGAGTTCACAAAGAGATCCACTCGCCTGAACAGTATCGCGTTTGAGGAGCCGTGGTAGCAACTGCTCGCCGTAATAGTCAGCTGATTTCGACTGTTGGCTGGCTGGTTGGCTGGCAGGCTGGCTGGCTGGCTGGCTGGCTGGGCGACCCGAAGAGCCCGAGGATGAGAGGCTGTGTGGGGGTGAAGAGCGGATGGTGATGGTGAAACGGAAGGAGGGGGCCTTCGCACTGCAGGCGGGGAGACGCAAGGGGATGCAACGTTGGGAAAGCGAAGAGGGAGATTTTCCTGTAGAGAAGAGCGAGGGAGTTTGTGGAGCAGCGGGGGTGAGGCGGGAACTGGGTGGCCTGGTAGAAGCGAGGCGGAAGGGACTTGACGATGAACAACGGGCGACGAGACGGAAGGGGAACCCCCTGGGGAGCAGGGCGACCGAGGGGAAGGCGAATGTGTTGGCGTGAAGGGGGAAAGACAATGTCGACGTAGTGGGGTAACTTGTACCGATATCAGGGGTGTATATACCCTAACGAAAGTTCTCGCTACGAATCTATTCAGTCGGTATGTTACGAATAATGATTTTTTGTCTTTATATGTGGTACAGTTATTATTATTATTATTATATTATTATGATATATATAATATATACGATATATGATATATTATATTTTTCTTTAACAGAATCAAAAAGGGAGCACAAAACACATTGTTACTACTTTTAGCAGGGTATTTTGGAACGTTTAAATGTCTAAAGAAAGCGTTGGTTGCGATGTAATATCGGTGAGTTCTATTTTTGGCATCATAAATACGGAATAATGTATCTTAAAGAGTTCAGCGATAACGGAAGGGTTCAACGCGAGCATGAGATAAGATCCATAATATGCAACATCATACAATTTCATATTTAATGTCGACTTCTTACGATTCTTTGTACTAAACACTTTAATTGTTACACTTTTATATGTAACAAATGCATATTGTCACATTTTGATGTTTTACTGCTAGCACTTTTTACATCTAGCAGATCTTATAGTTTACTGTTACGACAAATTATTATTATTATTTAGGAATATATTTTGTTGATTAAGAATTTACATAAAATCTCTCGCTTCTTCTGTTAGGGAGAAAAAAAGTTGCTACAATGCGTTTAAACATTTTGCTTCTTATATAAAGATAATATTTTCCAATAGAAACATCTTATTGTGTATGCATAATATTCCTCTTCTCGAGTAAAAAAGTTATTTCAACAAATGAGAATAAACGGACATTTTTCTCTTTTTTTACAGTGTTTGTGGTATCTTCAGTATAGAAGCAACGATATCATTTCTTCGCCGCGAACTCTGTGAGACCTTAACGTACTTCAAAGCTTCTTCGTCGCCACGCGCATGCGACCCTGCAGACGTGACAGCGGAGTCGATCGAAGGTGGGAGTTCGCTCAGCTGGTCGAACAGCTGCCGGTTCGTTCGGACTTGTAACTGGCTGACTACGCTTTCTCTTTTTCTTCGGGTTCCCTCGTTGGTCGGTCGGCCGCACCAACGTTGTCGCCGCTACGATTGTCGTTGCTGTCGGCTTTTTAAGTATTCAACCAGCGCTTGAACTCTGTCCGCGTTGAGCGCATTTTCCCATCGGCCAGCCGTCTTGAAGTACGATCCCACGATCAGCGCGTCCGCAGCCGCCACGTAATTGTCCACGTTATCCAACGTTACACCCGAGCCGATCAACACCGGCAGCCGCGCCGCCACGCATTTCCGCACTTCTGCAAGGTGTAAAATATTTTAAACGGTGACTTCCGAAGCGGTGACTTTCGAAGCGTAGAGATCTGTACTCTGTCCCCCGGGGCCGTGGAGAAGTCTCCGATGAACTTCTTATCGGTCAACGGATGTCTGAAAAAGTACCTGCGAGATCTTGCGCGTCCGCTTCCTCGCCAGTCGCTCTGCCGGTTAATATAATTCCGTCGGCTAAAAAGAATTCCGCTGCTCTTACCGTTTCTAGTAAACTCATGTCGGAAGTGATGGCATGCGAGCTGCAAAAACAGCAAAGTAGAACAAAATAAAAAAAAGTAGAACGAAAAGTAGAATGTTTCGCCGAACTAGATTTTCGTGAAATGCGAGTTCGCGATGAAACCTATCATCTCGCTTTCTTTTACGTATATTTAATGCGGAAGAAACTGTGCCACGCGCAAAATCAGAGATAGTTCTGTGATTTTTAAAGAAGTCACAAATTGAAAGAATGTGAGAACTTTACAAATGTCGCGTTAAATTGAAGGACGTAATATTGCAAATTTGCATTCGTATTCCACGTACAAATTAATTCAGCAGTCAAGCCGAGTTGATCGAATTAACTTCACCTATGTTTCTTCTTGACGTCGGCGAAGACAAGGACATCTTCCGCGTCGACTTGCCTCCTGTATCTCAACAAAGTCCCGGCGCTTGCGTCAATAAAGCCTTCATCTGCCACGTGAGAGAAGACGAACCCCTCGGCCCTAATAAATTGAAATCCCGCAGCCTTGGCAACCGCAATCGCCTCCTCGTTGCATCCCGCGAGAATCTGCATCAAACCTTGAGTTGATTAGTTGATTTTGTAGCGATAAACCCGACCAAAATCTTTCGACAAACTTATGCTTTATACTTGAAACGTCGTATTTCTGTACTTGAACGCGGCATCTCTATATCTAAATATATTTCTATACCTGAACGCCGCAAGCCATGTTTCGCAGCACCACTTTCCTAACTTCTGTGCAAATTCTCGTCATCATAGTTACGATTTCCGACGACAAATCTTTCCTCTTAATGTACGGGATGTCGTGCATATTCTCAACCAGAATACCATCCTGAAAAGCACACACGCGAAATACTCGAACAAAGTGCGATATATTCATACGATAGCGTTATATCACTTTTCTATTCGATTTTGCAAAGGTTACGGTCATCGGAGAATAATCTTGTCTGTGACTACTTGTAACGAAAGTATCTATTTTCTCTGGCTATTTTGCTTTCTTAGAATAAATAATCTCTCCTAGAATTATGCCGGGTACGCTAGCGATCATCGATGAGTTTATCAACGTGATAGCAGCATACTCCCTTATATATAGATATTAATTTGATGTAAATTAATTACCGCGCCACACTTAGCATATATCGAGGCCTCTTTCACTGCATCTTCTATGATCTTCTCAACAGGACCTTTGTATCTTGGCGTTCCTAAACACACAGGCGTCTATAAGAAATAAAACCATTTCTTAAATTGTCATAATATTCTCCATATACTATATTATAATAAATAATATATTCGATTGTGTAATAAGTTATTTCAGATCTTTCAATATATTTTTCAATAGAAAATTCAAGATTATTTATTACACAACACAATATTATTGAAATATTATTATTGATATTATGGAAAATAATATCGGTTTTTCCACGCAGGTTTCCTTGTAACATACTGCATTGCATGATAAAGGAGCCGGCCATTTCACAGCGAGAAAAAGCGACGCAGATTTCAATATATTTTTCAATAGAAAATTCAAGATTATTTATTATACAACACAATATTATTGAAATATTATTATTGATATTATGGAATAATATCGGTTTTTTCACGCAGGTTTCCTTGTAACATACTGCATTGCATGATAAAGGAGCCGGCCATGTCACAGCCAGAAAAAGCGACGCAGGTTTACCGATCGCAGCAAGATTAGACGGATATAGTCTGATTACACTTCCGGAGATCAATCGCGCGTGATAAGCGAGTTCGTGTCAGAGTCACGAAAGTGTTGTACCGGGCAGCGCTCCCACGTGGATCATTCCAATGATCGAGCAAGGTCGTGGAAATAATTTCCGGAATTTCAGCATCTCGGTGAAGATCACTGTAGCGATTAGTATTTACCAGTTCGGCGCACGAAACGTGACGAATGCCAACGACGATCGTTATCTGGCATGCGTGAATTTAGAGCCAGCTGGCTGATCATGTCGACCACTGACGCTCAATGGCAAAGTGCGACGCGTCACCGCTATCTCCGTGTCATTCCGGGTTCGAAGACGATCTTTCTACTTATCGCGTTTTTCAGTGCGCGCGCGTTCACGCTTGCTGTCTCCACGTGAGAGAAAGAGAAACGAATAAATAGGTAGATTAATATAAATAGCATCAATAGATAGGAAGAAGTCTACTTTTATTAAACGTGCGTGATAGTTACATGAATTATCGGGGAGAAATTATGAAACCAATAGAGTAATATATGAATTAGCCACTAGTTCGATTATCGTACGCAAGTAGTTCGTATCTTGTAGAATGCTTCTCTTTTATTTCTTCGTCACAAATCATGTATTATCGAAGCAGAATAGTCTAATGTATGTACTCACGACCGTCTCGTTCTATATTCTTTTTTTTGTTTCTTTAATTAAGAAAAAACGAGATTCGTCGCTCACGAGCGCACGCTGGACGATTCGATCGTTTCTTCTTCGTTGGGCAAAGTTGCATGTACATTTTATCGATATGAATGGATAATGAGATATTAATATAAAGTAAAAAATAACATTTAGATTTGACAAAAGAAGGGATCAGTATGATGCTGCTGTGAGCTGATTACAGTAATGTTTACTGTAATGTTTAATCTGTTTACAGGTCACAGAAAGCGCTTTGATTCGGGACACCCTATGTATAAAGCCTCGAAGTTGAACTCACGTTGATATTGGACGTGACCTTTCTACAGGCAGATATATATAGTAGGTAAAAGAAATGTTCACATTTTTATATTGGCATTATCGTACGTATGTATAATATACCGTTATTTTTTTTATGTTGTAGAGTAGTGAACAGATATCGGCAAAATGCAACAAAAACACAAAATACACGAAACACAAACAACATAAATGTGTGACTGCTTGTAAGATTGCGAAAAAATGAGCAATGAATTACTGACAATGTTGCGAACCGGATTGCTTCGTGGTGCTTCTGCCAAACGTCTCAAATATGTCGGTGCAGGTGAGTGTATTCACTTATCGTTTCACCGTATATTTATATAGAATATAATCTTTAGATTTTTATATTACAATAAAATGACTTCTCAGGGTGATATTCTCTTTAAATTTATAGAAGAGCAAGAATTTGTCGAATTTATCTTTCTTAACGTTGTCATGTTTAACTTGTGGGAAAATTAAAATTTAATTTATCTTCTCATTTGTTGCATATTAAACATATCTGTGAATATATTAATCAATCGCCACAAACAACTAAATAATGAGTAAAAATATTTGTTATAATTATTGTTTATTGATGCAGGAGTAGGGCTGTTGTGCGTTAGTTATACCTTTCTCCCTTCAAGGAAGAAAAGAGCTGTGAAGAGTGTCGCAGGAAGTTCAATTAGATTCGCAAGATCGTTCAAGATCGGTGCAACAATTTCTATGGATTACTTATTAGCCCCTTTGATGGGATATACATACACGGAAATTCATCGAAGGTCTGCTAATCGGATCGTTCAAGGATGTCTGAAAAACGGCGGAATTTATATAAAAGTCGGACAAGGTTTTGCAGCAGTAAATCACGTTCTACCAAAGGAATATATCGAAAGTTTATCAGCATTACAAGTACGCCTTCCTACGTCTTATTATAAAAATTAAGAAAGATTTTCTGCTATTTATAAAGTTACATTAAATTGAATTTTTCAATGCGCTTATTAAGGACAAATGCTTAATACGAGAAAAGGATGAACTTGAGGAAATATTCTTGCAAGACTTCGGTAAGAAACCTGAGGAAATGTTACGCGAAATTGAACCCAAGCCAGTAGCGGCTGCCAGTTTAGCTCAGGTAACAGTTAAGCAACATATATATGTGTGTGTATATGTATGTATATATATATATACTTATATATATTTATATGTATTCATTTATTTTATACCTTTGCCAAGCCTTTCTCAAATAGACTACTAATATTACGGAATTGTTACAAAAATTTGTTTTATTACTAATTTATTCTTTATTAAATCTTATCACTGAACACACATATACAGGTGTACAAAGGTGAAACTTTAGATGGAAAGAAAGTTGCTATCAAAGTACAATATATTGATCTTCAGGAACGATTTATGTCCGACATAAAAGCGGCAATTTTTTTAGTTAAAATTGTTTCTGTTATACATCCAAAATTTGATTTGCACTGGGCATTTAATGTAAGCATATATTTAATATATTTATTGATATTATGTGTAAACATATTATTATAATTAGTATTTTTATTATTATAATTTATGATGTTATGAAAAAATTATTTAACTGTACAGGATGTCTTTGAGACATTGGCAAAAGAATTGGATTTTGAGAACGAAGGAAAGAATGGAGAGCAATGTGCTGAAGATTTGAAAAAATATAAATATGCATATGTGCCAAAGATTTATTGGGATCTTAGCAGTAAGGTTGTTTTATCCAGAATTACAAATATCGAATCTGTTTTGAAACAGTGATTCTTGAAACACTTTTGACTACAATTTCAAAATAATAAATTAATTAAATTTTATTATCTCAGACTCGTGAATTAAGTCTGTATTAAAAATACAAATTGCCCTTCTATTTTTTTAAATAATTTATATTTATAAATAATTTTTTAAATAATTTATATTTATTTTAGAGAGTCCTCACAACAGAATGGATTGATGGTGTTAAGGTGACTGATGTAAAAGGAATTAAGGCGCTAGGATTAGATCTCTCTGACGTTGATAAGAAACTGATCACTTTAATGGGTGAACAAATATTTCATACAGGATTCGTGCACGCTGATCCGCATCCAGGAAACGGTATTATTCTTTCATCGAATAATATTTTAAACGTTAGAGTTCGCACTCGATCCTAAGAAAATTAATAATTAAAAATGTAATATAACGTATGTGTGTTTGTGCATTTTGTTTATGTATGTTTGACAATTTTGGTCCTTTATAGTTTTTGTAAGGAAGGGGAGAGACAACAAAGCGCAAATAGTGCTGTTAGATCACGGTTTGTACCAACACTTGCCAGAGAAAACAAGATGTACTTTGTGCAACTTTTGGGAATCGATGGTTCTGAAAAATGACTGTTCATTGAGAGTGCATGCCAGCGATTTGAATGTGAAAGGTGAGTGTGTAGTTATCAATGAACTCTGTTTACTGTGTAGTGACGACTATTTCGTGCATTTGTCCGCTAAACTTTGAGATTATATTTTATATGCATATCCGATTTTTCTGACTTCTACGTTATTAAACTCCTATATCTTTACTTAAATTCTTCTGAATCTCTGTTTTTAACATACAGTGCGATATTTTAGATCACATTTTGCTGGCGGAAATATTAACGCAAGCACCATACAAGATCTCTTTTACATCACGTTCAAATAATACAACAATGGACGAGTATATGAAGAACCAAGCACAGGAACATTTCGATAAGATAACAGAAGCATTAAAATTGATGCCTAAAAATTTATTGTTGGTAATAAGGTAAAATAATCGATATTAAATTCTTTTCCTTTATTAGAAATTTATTGTTAAACGTCTTCTTTCTTTCTCTTTATTATAAATTTATTATGAAATATAAAATTAGGATTAAAGACATAAATTCAATTTCCTTTTGAATAATTTAGAATGAAAAAATGATTGATCATTCTTTTTCTTAAATTATTAAATTAAATGTGACTTCAAATTTGTTACTATCTTTCTTAGGAACTTGAACACGATACGTGCTATTATCAGAGAACATGGTGACATTATCAATCGATACAGGATGATGGCAAGAATTGCAACACGTGGCAGATACCGAGTTGGGAAACAATCTGTTTACAAAAATATTGTAGGTATATGCAGCCTCGTAAAATTCGAATGTCGACTTTGGTAAGTAACCGAAACTTTACCGAGTCGGGAATAAATAAAGATACATATCTGAATACTTTGTAATTATACTTCTCCGATTTTTTCAGGTTACACAACTTAGTACAATGGTTACTTAACATTTATTTAAATGTATTAAAATTAATCGGTTATGATGTTACAAGAATGTTGCAAATACTCTAATATTGTTTAGTCACTGTATATACAATGTTAATATGTATATACAACTTTATATGCATTCTACAACCATGTAAATGTATCTTTTAAATGAATAACTAAAAAGATGTCTGATGTTTTAAATAAAAATTTCTCCACATGATTAAAATTGTTAGTTGTTTATTGCATATTAATTATACATAGTTACTCCTTTAATCAAATTCTTCAAAGGGAATCCAAGAAATATATAAAAACATATAAAAGTAAATTTATTGCTTAGTAAATACAATTGAATGTATTCTTTAAAAAATTGTTCTATGATCGAACGAGTCAAAGAAGGCTGTTTTACTTTGGTTTAATCACAATTTTGCGAATCTGCTGAACTGAATTTGCGAAAGCATGTTCCAATTTGGAGTTACTGTATACACATGGAAATATAACATATTGCTACATTGTGTTAACAATAATTGAATACTCTTTACCACTTAATACTTAAACAGTGTCCTTTGTACAATATGTGGATAAAGAGACAAGTAACATTGCAAATCTAAACTTCAGCCGGTTTTTATACATGTGAACTACTTATTAAAGACAAAGATTAGAGAAATAGGAAATTAAATGACTTAATGCTTGCCAGCACTATTTTAAATATATATATATTTAATCTTGTGTGATGCTTAAGAACTATTATAAGGCATGAAAATTAGTATTTCATGCAATATGAACTTGAAAATTTCTGTATTCTCGTTCTAGGATCTTTAAACTTAACGATTCAAATGAAATTTACAAAGATTTGCAAATTTCAAAACTAAGAAAATCTAAAACTTTTAAATTTAAATATTTAAAGATATGCAAGTATCCAATAAATGTCCCGAAATATTCAAAGATTTTAAGATCGAATTATTGAATAATTGAAATCCATATAATTCGATCGTATAATTCATGGAATGAGAAAGGATTTAAAGATGCTTAAGACAATTCAGAAAGCTATGGATCAACTCACCAAGCCATTGTTTCTTTACATTAGAATTGATAACAAATTTATGACAGTCCAAGGTAACACTATCTACACTATCTACACTCTTGCATTCAAATCAATGTAAAGATGCAATCGCTTGCATTGTTTCTATTCCACAGTGTTCAATTCGCACTAGCATCTTCGTCAACTTTTAACTGCTTGACGTTTCCGTTGCATGAGGAAACTTTAAACGTTTCTTTGAGTACAGTTATATTCTGAGTGTTTTTAAATAAAGTACAACAAACACCCTCTTTGTGATGTAAAATTTACAAGTGGAACGAAAGAAATCACCAAAATGGGAAAGAGAAAAGAGGAGTAGAAAATGTTTTAGGCAGTTTTAGCACGAATGGCAGCGCGCTTTCCTGTGACAGCCTGAAAAATAAACAAAAATTAGAACGTTATCCTACTTTGACGTAAAAAATAAAAATGATTTTGTTACCACAATATATATTAAATATAAAAATATATTCCTCATAAATTACTAATTGATATAATATAGAGATTTCACAATCGCGCGTTATTTTTAGATTAAATAAAAAAACGTTAACTCACCTGGAATCCAGACTTTATACTAGCAACTGAACATCTCGATCCACAGGTCTCGCACTGTAAAAAGAAGAGCCGAGTGTCCTTTTGAAGGATCGTGTCTGGAGAACGGCATGTATGACATGTAACGTACTCCTTGATGTATCTCCTAAGAACGTTCTCTATTTGCTTCTGTTGGAAGCGACCTTTAATAATCAATTGACTATTTCCGTCCACCGAGCCGCTTGTTCCCAACTCGGCGAGCAAGAAGTCAAGTAAATGTTTCGGTTGTCTGTGCAACGTTTTACAAATCTGTAAAGTGGAGATACCTGTAAATTGATGTTTGCTTTCCGGCTAGTTTTGTAACTTACATACATTTTACACAAATTTCGCATTCATTAGTCTGATTGTTTCTTTCATTCTGTTAATTCTTATCATAATATGTACCTCAGTGAAATTGGCAAAAGACGTTTTCTTCGTTCCAATACGCACTACTTGTGGCGGACGCATGACGAATTTTTGTTTTTTACCAGCTACCATGTCAGGATTCTTTTCCCGCAAGATGTTAAACACTCTAATGAGTAATTCGTCATATGTGTAATCCCTGTCCGAGCCTACCCATGAACTCGGCTCCTCCACTAAGAAAAAGATAAAATGGATGTCTTTATACTTGGGATATTACTTGCATCATGATATAGTAATAAATAACTCTTTATGTAAGTATAAAATTTAAACAATTTTTTTTATTTATAGTACAAAGAATAACAAACATTCAACATTCAAACAAAACATTCCCTAACTGTACAATGCTTTCCTATTTCATCATATTATAGTTTCCTTGTATAAATATATTTCCAGCATAATCTGTTATTTAATGTCTACTTGATATGTAAACGTAATGCAAAGTCTTGTATCTAATTATAATTATCATAAGAGAATAATGATGTATATAAATATACTAAATTTATATTCTTTTGTGAAATTTCTTATTAATATTTTTTACCAGAATAGAAATTATTTTTATCATATCATTAAAAATAATTGTATATTTACAAAATTTATAGAAAATATTTGTGAAATTGTTCTTATGTTTCAAAAAATTTCAAGTGTTATTTTTGTCAACATTGATCAAAATTGTTAGAATGACAGTAAACTATTTTTAAATAACATTAAATTCTTTGAGCTACATGAAATGATTTTCATAATAATTATTAGAAATATCTATATACTGATTTTATTATGAAATGTGCAAGTGAAAAAATAATTGGAAAATTATCAAGTGCACGGTCAATGCAATTTATGTACACCAAGCATATATCTTACCATACTCTGCACTTCGCTCAGATTCAGTGCAGCATGTTAACAAATATTGAGTAACATAAACAACTAGGTACAAAAATATTGACATAAGTCATTTTCTATAATACATACCATTATCCTTGTCTTCAAGTTCCTTGCGATCTTCCTCAGCTACTAATTCGTCGAGATCCTTCTTCTTCTTTTTCTTCTTCTTTGTCTTGGAAAAGTCCATATCTAAATCAAAGTCATCATCCACCACAATTTCCTCAGTCTGTTGCTCTACAGGTTCCTGTTTAACAAATAACAAGATTTCACTGATTTTAAAATATGATCTATAAGTCTTGCTTGTTATCTTAACATTTATTTAATCCTTCTTACTTCTTTCTTAGTATCAGGCAAAGCTGCTTCTAGTTCATCCAAGTTGAATGCCTTTTTCTTCTTCTTTTTCTTTTTACCGAAACTTTCCAAGTCCAATGCTTCATCATCTTCAACAACTGGGGGCTCAAGCTCCTGATTCTCTTTTTCAGTGGCATTCTCTGTTGCTTCACCACTACTACCTCCTTCATTAAAAGCTGCATCAAGATCAAAAGTAGTCTTCTTCTTCTTCTTTTTCTTTTTCAAGGTTGGATCAAATACCTATATATTTTTAGAAGTAGAAATGAAAAGCAATTTTGTCTCTCCTTAATTTTATAATTGTATACAGGAGTGTGAATTTTTATATAATATAAAAATGAGAAAATTAATGAATAATAATAAACATATATCGTAGGCCTAATTAGAAAACTTCCTAAATTCATTTTTGGACAAAACTGAGATACTTATACCATGCGATTTGTCTTGATAAGCCAACAATATACAGAATATTTTAAATTTTCTTATCATAAATACTCATAAGAATTCTTTCATAAAACTTCTAAATATTCGCAATAATATTAGCATAACTGATTCATTATTTTTAAGTGCACTAAAAAAGTTATCTCTTCTATACTTCAAACGAAAAATATATGTAAGTAGAAGATAATACTTTCATACATCCAGCAAAGATTTTGAGGTTGGAATCGACAATTTTTTCCTTTATCTTCCAAATGTATTTATTTACCGAGAATTTTTCGTAAGTAACAAGAGAAAAATTAAAATATGATAGTAAAACCTTACAGCAGAATAAATTCCGGGGAAATAGCAAGATATGTCAATTCGATCACACACTCGTGTTCCAAATTATCCGTCGGCGATACTTTACGTACCGAATCTTCTTCTGTCATTTTGTCGATTTCCGGTTGAAAAAAAATCCTTATTTATGGCGGACTAAAGCAACATAAAGCATGCAATTAAAGTTTAATAAGAATTTATAGCTTTTGTTGCCGCACGCTGGATCAAGGGGATTGCATCAGAAAAGTGCTGCTTAGAGGTATGTTCTTAGAACTGCCTCGGCTGGTGTAATAAGTTAGAGTGAAACAAAATATATTTGTCTCAATCTAACTTTTGCACACATGAGGCCTGTTCTTTGTAGCTGCACTACTGAACTAGTGCAATAAGTTAGAGTGAGAAAACGTATATTTGTTTCACTTCAATATATTGCACCAGTTCAGCAGTGCAACTACAAAGAACAGGCCTATGTACACCTGTTCAGCAGTTCAGCTAAAAAGAACAGATCTTAGAGATTTAAGCTTTAAACCCTAAGGCCTGTTCTACAATACGTTGTTTGTCGTAGTCGGATGTCGAACGCAATCAATGGTCCAATGAGGAGAACTCATTTACATAAAATAAACTCTCTCATTGGATTGATTACGTTCTGACGTCCGATTACGGCAACCGACGTATTGTAGAACTAGCCTAAGAGCCATGGCAAAAACTTTTAGCATGTTCGACTGGCCCTGGATTAATCGCTCCAAGAGCAATTAATGACGTCATAAGTCTGTACTAGCCAATCATAAAGTTTATAAGTATTTGTTCGACCAATAAACGTAGACTGAATAACCCAGAGTGTAACGCAATTTGTAATGATTGGTTTGACTTAGTAATTTACTAGATAATTCTTTGCATTGGTTGGTTGTGTCCAATCGTACTATGGTCAATCGGGACGCTCCCACGTCTTAGTGCTTAAGTTTTTTTGTGTGCCATAGCTCTAATGGCCCTGCATACAGGACGCGGTAATGCTTGTCGCGCGAATTTCCGCCGCGCGGCAAGCATTACCGCGTCCTGTGTGCAGGAGCCAATAAGCCGTAAATATACGATCTGTTCTTCTTAGCTGCACTGCTGAACTAGTGCAATAAATTAAAATGAGATAAATATTTTTTTTCTCACTCTAACTTATTATACTAGTTCATTTTTTCTCACTCTAACTTATTACACTAGTTCAGCAGTGCAGCTAAAAGAACAGACCAGTAAATTATATCAGATTTGTTCACGTCGCATGCCCCAATGTGCTCCTACTCGCTTCAATGCACTCTGATTGGTCATCACGCGGACCAATCAGAGTGCGTTGGAGCGAGTAGGAGCACGTTGGGGCATACGACGCGACAAACCTATCGTGTAGAGATTTTCTTTGGTACCAACATTATTCCCTCCACTTTTTGGGAAATTGTCGCCTAACCCCTCTGATAATATTCCGTTTGAATATTCCGTTGAAAACTTTCTTGTTTGTTTACATTTCTGCCTTTCTCCTATAAATTCGTCAGTTAGTCCTCAGAAGTCATCGAGTGAGTTACTTCTGTTACAATATGCCACGTTTATATTCTAACAGTGAATATGCTGATATGGTTTTCGTGTATGGTTTTTGCAACGGTAATGCTACGGAGGCGGTGCGAGAGTATGCGCGCCGATTTCCAAATAGAAGACAGCCTGATCGGCGAGTCATTACGTTGACTTTTCATAGGCTACGAGAAAGCGGCTCATTTTCCATTAATCATCACCGTTAAAAGTAAATTTGCAAGTATAAAATCGCGTCTTGCGTCACTTTAACAATTCTAAGACCAGCGTCCAGAGAGAGCATCAGCTACAAGTGCCACGGCAGACAATCTGGCGAACTTTGAGGAGTGATAACCGCTACTCGTACCATATTCAAAGTGTGCAGAATTTATTATCTCAGGATTATTTCAAGAGATTGAATTTTAATAATTTTAATAATTGGTTTCTTCAGCAATTTGACAATGATAATTCATTTCCATCAAAAATAATATGTATGGATGAATTTACATTTACAAGAAGAGGATTTTAATCAAAGAAATTATGGGTTCATGAAAATCCCATGACTGTTAGGGAATACAAGTTCCAGCATGAATTTGCACTGTTAATGTTTGGCTTGGAATTTGAAATGACTCTTTAGTGGGACCACTTTTCTTACCAGACAGATTAAATGCAGCCAGATGCTATACAGATTTTTTGGAGACTGACTTCTTTAATTATTTAGAAGCATTCAACTGCAGCAACGGATTGAAGTGTGGTTCCAGTTTGATGGATGTCCAGCCCATTATGGTAGAGCTACTTGAGCTTAATTAGATGTAGCTTGGACAAATATTATCCACGACAATGCCTTAGACATGGAGAAGTGGTTTCTTATCCACCCCAATCACTTGATCTGACATCATTGGACTTTTGTTGTGGGAGCCCTGAAGTAAGAAGTTTATTGCCAGTCAACTCAAGAGAGCAATTGAGGAACCGAATCGTGGCTGCAGTGCACTAAATATCACCAGACCAGTGTTTGGCTGCAACACGAGCTGTCCATATTAAATGCAACGCTTGCATTGCTGCAAGAAGCCAATATTTCAAATAATATTTACATTTTGTTACAAGCAAATAACAAGTGAATAAATGTGAATGAATAAGTAATAAATAAGTACAAAAATAAAAACTACGTTTGTCTTTTTTTGCGATTTTCTCCAAAATTAGCATATCTCTAAAGGACTTTTTTTTAGTTTATCAACCCCTTAGGATCGTTCTATATTAGTCGCAAATTTTAAGGTTGCAAGAAAATTGACTAATCATGCTTAATTATTTCCTTTGCAATCAAAGTGTAATCGACTGTGATTGGTCAATTTCTTTGCAACTTGCAATTTGTGACTAATGTAGAACGACCTTTACATGCTCCCGAAGTTTTGACATTTAAATTTTGGACATCCTGTATATAAGAAACAAATAATGTAGAAGCATAATAAAATTTATAAAATACAAAACATTTATAGTGAATTTAATAATTGTTCTTTATTCATTTATTAAAATCAATGATAAAAATATTTAAACGCAGTCTTGACAAGATTATATAAATAAATTCTGGACGTTAATAAATTTCACTTAGAAATTCCAACCATTTTGTAATATACTGGCATTTGATAGGTGTAACATTTCCAATAGAGGAACAGTTCTTTCTCACCTAAAATAAAAAAAGAGATGTATTTTAAATTATTTTGATGATAAATTGCAATAAAAATTCTTACTGGACATATGCCACAGGAAACTTTCATCAATCCAGATGAGCCTAGCAACGATTGAGTAGCTCTGTACATATTATTTCCATCTCCTGAGAGTGTCTTTTCGATTTTACCATCATAAACTAAGCCATTTAAAAGCATTTCTATCTCCTCCACCGTTAAATCTACCTATGTAAGGATGTTTAGCAGAACAAATTTTGGACAATAAAAAATTTAGTTAAAGGCTCTTGGCTCTGTCTATCTCTTTTTAATGATATCAGAAGTGAGAAAATGCATGCTAAACATTTTTGCAAAATACATTAAAATAAAAATATATATCCATAAAATAATATTTGTAATCGACTAAACAAATTTATAAGATATTCCGTGCACTTCCCTTTTGCTCTGACAATCAATAATTTGTCGTAAATTAACGTACAATTCATCTTCTTAACCTATTTACAACATACAATTCATCTTCTTACCTACTTCTATTCAGGTTAATTTACAATAAATTATTTATTGTCAGAGCAAAAGGGTAGTGCACGGAATATCTCACAAATTTGTTTAATCGATTGCAAGTGTTATTTTATGGATATATATTTTTAATGTATTTTGCAAGAATTTTAGCATACATTTTCTCGCTTCTGACATCATTAAAAGAGCTAGATAATGCAAAGGGCCAGAAGCCTTAATATATATTATATAATATACTTTTACCTTGCTTATTCCTGAATGCACAATGTATTTGTGCACATCTTTAGATGAGCTATATGACATGTTTCTTGTAGCGATAGGTCCATGCTTACAACTTTTTGCTTCTGTCGCCTTTGTATTCAAAAAAGTGTAACAGGACTGAGTTAATACATTAACAAATTCTGTCTCAAAATTTTGATCTTGATACCAAGCACCACCTGTTACAGATATATCTGGCTCCAAGTTATATAACATATATACTTTCTTCTTACTAGCTGCTACAGATTTAATAGCCTGAATCAACTTATTTGTTTGTAAATTCTTCAAAACCTTAGTCAACTGAGTGGATGCCAAGTTAGACTTGTATCTTATATCCCGCATCCATATTCCTTTATTGCCTGCTTCTGCGATAATGGCATATACTATTTTCTCTTCATTATCTGCACCTTTGACAACTTTTGTCTTGGAGGCATCTTTCAAACGATAAGACAATGATCCTCCTTGTTTGAAAAGATCAAAGCGTCCTTGTGATAAAAGTTTGTTTATAATTTGAGCTCGTTGAAGCGGTTGTAAGTCAGGTATCTCAGTGGCTAAGTCTTTATCAGAAATACCCTTGGGTTTTGCTTTTGCTAGAGAAATTATTCTGTAACAAGTGCATAAAATATATATTTAAAATGGATGAAATTAAAAACTTAATAATGCCATATATATTATTAATTCTCAACTGTTTTTGTTACTTTTCATTAAAACTGTAATTTTAGTGCAATCTATGAATTGTTGAAACAATTATTTAATTATAAATAATTATATAAAAGATATAGAAAAGAACTTCACATATTATAAATCTATAAATAACCTCAATATATTGACATTGTCTTTAAACACTATTGTTAACTTTTTGATATTATCATTAACATTTTTATATATAATTTGTACAATTATAATATTGTAGGACTTGATGGAGTTGTGTTTTCTTAAAACAAGTTTATACTTTTGTTCAATTATCTCAGATTTATCAGATTCAGCATTGGTGGATGTGTTAGGTTCTTGCGTGTTACTCATTTCCGTTGCAATTGTAGCAGCGATTAAAGAATACTTTTCTTCTTTTGGTATGTTATGCTTTTCGACAAATTATACCGCAGCACAAGACCGTATTATCTATGATTAGACAATTTCTTACTTTTACTTTTTACTGTTTACTGCTCTTCTAGACGGTCCTTTAAAGGGACGTCTACATTGGAAGTAAGTAGGAAGTAAGAGTAAAAATTGACCAACCATAGTCGAATGTGAGAAGAATAATCAACTATGATTGGTCAATTTCTTATTCTTACTTCCTACTTCCAATGTAGACGTCCCTTAAAGGCCCATCTATAATAAAATTGGCAGTGGGCAGCAGGGTTGAGTACGCATAATGGCTGTTGCACACAGGACGTGGTAATGCTTGCCGCGCGGCGGAAGTTCACACGACAGCCAATCAATATGTTGTTTTTCCATAAGAGCTACAAGGTTATTACGGAAAGCAGCATATTGATTGGCTGTCGCGCGAACTTCCGCCACGCGGCAAGCATTACCGCGTCCTGTGTGCAGGAGCCATTAGTACACCTTTACGGAAAATCAGTACATTGATTGGCTACCGCGTTATTTCCTAGACAACTTCCGCCGCGCGGCAAGCGTTACCGCGTTCTGTGTGCAAAAGCTATTATGGTTCCTGCACACAGGACGCGGTAATAGATTTGTCGAGTTACTTGTACTATTTACACTTTTACATCTAATGCCCATTGCACACTAGCGCACCTTATACAATACAAATTTTCCAAAATACGTTCTGAAGACGCTTTTAGGACGGAGGGATGTCATCAGAATATTTTTAGGACGTCCTTTGAAGATGTGAGCTGTCTGAAAATATCTAATATCCAATAAGTTTATTTGCATTAATTGAACTTTTTATACTTTCACACTTAGTGCACATTAATTCTTTAGAGGTTCTAAAAATGGGAGCGGTGCACTTGGACACGGTGCATTTGGACACAGCCAATCACAGCACCGTGTGATTAGAGACATTTGTAGGGTCCCTTGGAACAGCGATTTGTGATTGTACTGTGTCCAATTGCCTCGTGTCCAACTGATATACACCCTCTAAAAATGACGTCATGAGTTCCGTTTGTGTTACGAATGTAATTGCAATTTTGATACTTTTTTTACACTTGATCCCAAGTAAGAGTGAAAAGTGTATCAGAATTGCATTTACACTCATAACACGAACGGAAAACATGACGCCATTTTTAGAACCTCTAAAGAATTAGGGCTATCGTACACAAATTGACATAACTGCATATGCATAGCATAAGACCGTATGTACCAATGAGCATCGAGTATTAAGTCGCCATATTGGTGTTCGATGATTAATATTCGATGCTCATTGGTCCATACGATCTTATGCTATGCATATGCAGTTATGTCAATTGTGTGTGATAGCCCTTAATGTGCACTAAGTGTGAAAGTATAAAAAGTTCAATTAATGCGAATAAACTTATTGGATATTAGATATTTTCAGACAGCTCACATCTTCAAAGGACGTCCTAAAAATATTCTGATGACATCCCTCCGTCCTAAAAGCGTCTTCAGAACGTATTTTGGAAAATTTGTGTTGTATGAGATGCACTAGTGTGCAATGGGCATTAGGTGTAAAAGTGTGAATAGTACAATTAATGACTCCTGCACACAGGACGCGGTAAAGCCCGTATCAGACTACGGATTAAGATTGAGATTGAATTGAAAATTGGCCAATCAGAGCAAAGTTCACCAAACTTAAGCTTAGTGAATTTTGCTCTGATTGGCTAATTTTTAATTTAATCTCAATCTTAATCCGTAGTCTGATACGGGCTTAATGCTTGTTGCGCGGCGAAAGTCCGCGTGACAGTCAATCAATATGTTGTTTTTCCGTAAGTAGCTTCATTAGGTTTCCGTAAGAGCTAGAAGGTTATTATGGAAAGCAGCATATTGATTGGCTGTCGCGTGGACTCCGCCGCACGGCAAGCATTACCGCGTCCTGTGTGCAGGAGCCATAACTCGAACAAACCTAATGCTTGCCGCGCGGCGACACAGCCGCCGCGTAACAGCCAATCAATATGCTGCTTTCCGTAATAACCTTGTAGCTCTTACAGAAAAACAACATATTGATTGGCTGTCGCGCGGACTTTCGCCGCGTGGCAAGTATTACCGCGTCCTGTGTGCAGAAGCCATTAGCTTTATGACGGTCGTCAGTTCGTTCAAGTAATCATAAAAATTCGAGATTCGAGTTCCTCAGTGAAACGATGTTTACAAAGTATAACCACTGAAAGGTTCAAGTTATTTTATTAGTTTTTTAAAGATTTATATATTCCTAATAACTAATTCTTCGAAAGTCATGGTAAGTAGTCATATTATTTGTCGTTTAAGTTCTGCCGTACGTCACGTGTTGTTTGAGATTAATTCGCACGTGTTTTGTCACGTACATATAAAGGATTTCAAATAGTGATCTCGACAAAAATTTATTATTTCTAAAGATACAAAGGACACGATTGTTAATTTTTTACTCAAATTGTTTAATGCTTTATTCCTCTTCCAGGCGGACGAAATTAATCCAAGAGCTTATCCTCTCGCAGATACCACGCTCACTGTGAAAATATTGAATTTAGTGCAACAAGCTATGTTGTACAAGCAGCTGCGAAGAGGGGCTAATGAATCAACTAAGACTTTGAACCGTGGTTTGTCAGAATTTATAATTATGGCTGCAGATGCAGAGCCATTAGAGATCTTATTACATTTGCCACTTCTATGTGAAGACAAGAACGTTCCTTATGTATTTGTGCGAAGTAAAGATGCACTGGGCCGAGCTTGTGGAGTTTCTAGGGCAGTGGTAGCCTGCTCCATAACAAATAGTGCAAACTCACAATTGACACCACAAATCGATTGCATCCATCGAGAGATAGAACGGCTTTTATAGTTAAAATTTAAAGTTTGTATATTACTGTATAATTAACTTTATTCATGATACGAATTATTTGATTTTACATGTACAAATGTCAAACAGCCTTTTATGAAGTATTGAGAATATTTACAAACAAGAGCTAATTGCATAATTTTTTGTACACAAATCTATTACATGAATTTAATACGTCAATAAAAATGTAACATCAAAGTTATGATTGTATGTGTGTGTGTATTTAAATAATTTATATGAAGTGCTAGTTTAGACTTACAGGTAAGATTTAGTTGGGATTGCGATAGAATGTTACAGAGTTTATTAAATACCATAGAAGCTGATTCTATTCTCTCATACTATCCTTACTATGATGTTGCATTATAATAGCTCATAATGTAGTAAATGATTCCATGCAAATAGTTTGTTTCAGTTTTGTTATATGAAAAATATATAAAAGAACCAATTTTAACATTAGAATTTAATGAATATATAAAATGCGACATAACTTTCACTATTAACTCAGAGCTACATAATATTCTTATATAAATTTGTTTGGGTAGACAGGTTTTTGTGGTGACAGTAATTCAGATACTTGTGCAATATTTATGAAATTTATAAATATTCTGAACTGGTTTCTAGAAGTTGAATAATGCATTACTTTTTATAAAAAGAAAATGTACATTTTCGATAAACTTACACACTTGGGAATTTTTATTTAATGCATTAGCTAATGGGAATTTTAAAAGAAATTTTTAAAGGAGGGAATTAATTAAAATATAATAATTAGAACTCAGAGAGAGAGAGAGAGAGAGAGAGAGAGAGAGGTGTGTGTAGAATTTGACGTGGAAGAGTATATGAAAGTGGAAAGATGATAATTGAAAAAACAATGGCTGTGTTCCGATATTTTTGATAGCGTTGAAAATATAACATAAACTAAAGCTTTTTAATGCTAGTAGTGAATTTTGGAATATAGCCATAGTAAGCACATCTTGAAGCCGTTTCATCGGCTAAAGTCCTTCGACTTTATACATAACCTTCGGACATGTAATACATTCTTTTGCATCAGTTATATGATTGCAAAAGTGGTTACAAAGATTACTCAAGAGAAATAACTTTCAAACAAGTAGCTTAGAATATTTTTACGAATATTACGGTAAATTTAATTCAACGCGTATCTTAAAGACCGAAAAATGTTCGGCGTGTGCGTTTAACACACTGTCAAACGATATTACCTTTTTATAAATTAATTATTCGTACTAACATCCCCCCTCCCCCCTCAGCGCACGGAGAAATTCTTACTGGCCTTATATTACTTTTAATTTGGTTGTATTCCAAACAAAGTATTTGATATATAGTTTGTACTGAAATTCTAGACAAAATCGTAAAACTCGTAACTTATTTTTGTAAGACTCGTAAAAACTTATGAGTAGATCTGCGATTCTATGCGAACTATATGTTATATGATGACTCGTAAATATCTATGATTCTTTTTTTTGTTTTGTGCTATGAATTAACGATTTTACGATTTACTCGTATATTTACTTAGAATTGCAGCATTAGTTTATTAGTTTTAATCGTTTTCTATTTAAAAACAAACGAATCGATGGCGCTTCGTTTTATATTTTTTGTTTAAAAATTTCCTACAAAGTTTAACATTAAAAGCAAGAAAAATGTGTATGTCGTAAAAATATTCTAAGCTACTTGCTTGAAAATTATATCTCTTGAGTAACCTTTGTAACTATTTTGCAATCTCTTCAGACCAGTTTTGCAATCGTATAATACAAAAAAAAATTTATCACATGTCCAAAGGCTATGTCAAAGGACTTTAACCGATATCGGGCAGCTTCGAGACGTGCTCACGTGGTTTACGTTTCTTCCCAGTTATAATTTTTCCACTTTCATACACTCCTTGAAAAGGATCGCTAAATTGGACAATTTGGATCGCTATATCTCATTGTCCTTGGCTTTTATTTTTTATTGCTACAACGAACTGCACATATATTATGAAATTCATCGGAATCAATTCCGATCGGAAATATTTAATTATTTCCTAAATTTCTATTGTCTTTTTTAGGGGAAATAATTCCAGTGAATTATTCCGATCGGAATCAATGTTCCGACAAGTTTCATAATACGTGCCCTGGAGGCTCATCTCTATGCTTCATACTATGTATTTGAAGCGTATGAGCTCTAAATTTGTCACATGAAACTAAATATGACACCTGCATCGCATTTTTAATAGTAAATACAAAATTTTTTGTTGATTTCGATGCAACTTTTTAGTATGCGGCATTCATTATCGCTTATACTTTCACGCTGTAAAAGCATTTGCAGTTTTATGCATGCAATTAGAAAAAAAGAGTATTCTATGAAAACGAGCCTAGCAACATCGCTTTAACGCACTATCCAATCGTTATTAAAATAACGATTTAGATCTGATATTTTGCTTGAATCTCTTACGGCGGCATATTCTATAGTAAACGCACAAAATACCGCGGAATACTTGCGGCATAGTGTATATATTTATATATTGTACATAAATTTTTCATTTATATGCGCACGCAAAAGAACAATTCTACGATACAATGCATTTATATGCGCGCAAGATGCATTGAAGAAGTAAACGAAGTAAACATCATTCCTCCTTTTGTGCTAGAAATTTCTCGAAAGCTGTAATGTACTCTTTCTTAGGATCGAATTTCTCGATGAACATTGTCCAAATGTCTGGTTTGTTTTCCTTCAAGTGAATGGATATCTTTTTTGCTATTTCTTTCTGCCTTGACGTGCACTTTTCGCAACATGTAGCCACTGCCTCTGGCAATATACCTATGCAGAAGAATAGAAATTATACATCTCGTTTTATGCAATAGAACATTTCATGGAGAAGTAAACGTGTTTCCATTTTAATATTGATTTCCCGATTTCTTGCTTTTTATATTTATCTTTCCTATTTCTTCTTATTAAAATGCAACATTTTATTTTTCATTTAAGAGAAACGCGGTGATTGAAATGATGAAAATGACGCGATGAGTATATCTGAATATAAAATACAAATTGTGTATTTAATTAAATTTACTGAAATATACAATTGCTTACGTCTAAGATTACGTCCATCGGCGGTACAAGAGCCATTCTCTAGGATACAATTCATATATTGATTAAAAAGACGTAGGTTATTAAGAATCGCATCGATGTCCACGTTATCGTATGTATCTGCATAAAGTTCGGTCGCTCTGACGAGTTCGAAGAATGCGAAACCGAACAGTAGCACGAACGAAAACTTCATTCCTGCACGATCTTCTTTGTAGTATTTTTTACCTGTATAAATTCCAATATATGTTACTTTTCACGTCTTCTCTTAATTATTTCGGTATTAAAAAGAAAAAAGCAACGTCGACTTGGTTTTAATGAAGCGCCGACAAAAGTGAAGTAGGCGAATCTCTTTACGAAGCATGATCTTAAATTCTTGAAAAGAAGAAACCCAGCAAACACCAATTAGCAGTTGTATAACTGTTAGTTACAATTTCCTACTTAACAATATAATTGTTATATAACGCGTGTATTATATAATACCCAGATAGCACAGAGAATTAAAAAAGGATTCAGTCGTATGTCATCAATTCTGAGTTTATTTTTAGATGTAAAAAGAATTCTTTTCGCTAAACTAAACTTTGAAGAATTCTTTTTGCATCTGAAAATGAACTCAGAATTGGTGTCATATGACTGAATTCTTTTTGAATTCTTTGTGCTATCTGAGTACCCTGGCGAAAATAAAAATCTTTATAAACCGTTCGATGAGAATTTCTTGAGAGTTTATACGTTTTCAAACTTTGTATGAACGCTTACTCAACGCCATTGAATTTTGAACGCTTTCAGAATTTATCAAATGCTATATATAATATTTCGTGTAAGTTCTGCAATGCTGAAGCAACACTTTTCAAAGTACACTCAGTAAACGCTGATACACCTTCGTGCAGAGTTTGCTGTCAGACTTTTAAAACGTTTAAAAAACACTTCCCAACGCCGTAAGACAAGCGTTTTATCTCCGTTTAGCAAACGCTCTTCTAATACGCAAACGCCTTTCAAACGCTACAGTGTTGCAATTTCTGCTCTACTAACAATTTTTAAATTCTCAACGAACTCCTGCAAACGCTTACGTAAACGCTAAACAAATGTTTATGAAACTTCTTATTTTCATCAGGATGGTTATATTATTGAGTGGAAAATTATAACTAACACTTATATATATATATATATATATATATATATATATATATATATATATAACTGTGAATATATAAAAGATATAAATAGCGTAGAGCGCTAAGAAAAAGATAATAATTTCGAAACGAGTTCCTTTAAAAACTATATAAAAGAGGTCTTTAAGACGCAGGAAATTTCCAGAGGGAGAAGTACCCATATAGCGTAAATCTCTAAAAGACTTCTTAAAGAATTCCAAAAATATTCTGGAGGACTTGGAAACTCTTTTGGAACTCTTTAAAAAGTCTTTTAGAGATTTGTGCTATATGGGTATATAACGACGATATATTCTTACCAAAAGTTTTAGACGCGGCAACCGCACTTAACTGAATATATTAAATCCAACACTCTCGCAAACAAGAACGCGACTTTGACGAAAAGCGTCAAGTTAGCATTACAAGAGTTAAGTCAGCATTACAGGAACATAGCGGCTTTTGTATTGAAAGAAGAGAGCCTTTATCACACGTTCCTCATTATCATTTCATCCGATTCAGTCCGATAAGTAATGAACGAAACGTGAAGTTTACATATACCACATTATCACGATCGAATAATATTTACACGATTTATAAACTAGCGTAAAACACATTGCGATTTTCGCAACATTGCAACATTCGATTCATTTGTTTTGTCACGTAGAATTTGTTTTTTAGAAAGAAACGTGACAAGAGAGTTATAATTTTATCAGTGGTACAATTTAACATGCGTGTTTATATTCTTGTTTACTATTTGATTCCGGGAAATGTCATAAATTTCAGTAGTTTCTGATTTATTTATTGTGATTTTCGATCGACTGATTTAGCGACTTTAATTATAAGAATAGAAGAGAATAAATAGAAGAGAATAAAAAAAATAAGAAAGAAATACGAAAAAATAGAATAAATATAAAGGTTCCTGCACTTTTATATTAAAATTTATTTTGTGGATTTGCATTATTGAACTATAAGGTTTGTTCACGTTGCTTGTATTTTTGATACTTTTATACCTAATGTATAATTAATTTGTAGCTCTATTCATACATGATAAAAAAGTGCGCAACAACATGCGATACTAATAAACATTGTCGTTAGGATGTTACATAACAGAGCTACAAATTAATTATATATTAGGTATAAAAGTATCAAAAATACAAGCAACGTGAACAAACTTTATAGTTCAATGATGCAAATCTACGAAATAAATTTTAATGTAAAAGTGCAGTAACTTTTCCAGACGGCACAAATATAAAAAATCGAGTCATAAGACGTCTTTAAGGCAACTTTAAGACATCTTTAAGACAATATTTTATAAGCTTGTCTTGAAGACAACTTAAAGACGTCTTATATCCCACTTTTAAACATTGTGCTGTCTGAATTCATATCTATTCTATTTTTTCATGTTTTTTTCTTATTTTATTATTTTTTTTGTTCACTAGGTATTTTTAAAAATAATTGACTAATTGGCTAATTTGTTTATAGTTTATGATTAATGGTTTATTGTAGAAGGCACATTGGTCGGTATTCATATCCAGTAAACACAAATGCCGGTATTCATAGTCGAATCTTATTTCAAGACCGTCTTAAGTAATGTATAGTACATTGTAAAGGCTGGTTTATGATAGCCGTAATCTGTTAACTTATGCCGGAACCGGCATAAAAAATTGACTAATCACAGTCAATTATTCTTCTATAATTCGATTATGATTGGTCAATTTTTTACGGTTCCGGCATAAGTTAACGGGTTACAGCATCATAAACCTTAACATCGTGATACTTTAGGCCTGTTCTTTGTAGTTGCACTGCTGAATAGTGCAATATATTGAAGTGAGACAAATATACGTTTTCTCACTCTAACTTATTGCATTAGTTCAGCAATGCAACTACAAAGAACAGGCCTAATACAGGATTTATACCGCAGCCGATGTCCGACGTACGACGTCCAATATCCAATAAAAGAATAGCTTTCCAACGGAGAATTGAATTCTATATTAGAAAGCTGTTCTCCTATTAGATATCGAACGCTGTGTGAATCCTGCATAATGAAATGATCCTTACATTATCTGAAGACACGGACTAATGGCTCCTGCACACAGGACGCGGTAATGCTTGCCGCGTGGCAGAAGTTCGCGCGACAGCCAATCAATATGTTGTTTTTCCGTAGAAGGTTATTACGGAAAGCAGCATATTGATTGGCTGTCGCGCGAACTTCCGCCGCGGGGCAAGCATTACCGCGTCCTGTGTGCAGGAGCCATAAAGGTGCTTCTGCTATGTGCAAAGTCAATAAACCAAGGCATGAGTCTCTCTTTAATGTGTGTGGTGAAAATAACGAAAGCCAACATCAATAATTTCATGAAAAACTGTCTTGTACTAGATGGGAGTATATACTACTCTGTCTGGATCGAGATCTCACTCGCTCCGAACTCACTATCGTAAGCATCCTTAGGCCGGTATTCATAGTCCGATCTTATATTTAAGATTATCTTAAGTACTGCCTTAAGATGTCATGAATCAATCACAGAGCCGTATTCGCATTTTAAGACATTACTTAAGACGATTTTGAAATAAGATTTAACTATTAGCATATTCGACTGGCCCTGGGTTAATCGCTCCGAGAGCGATTATTGACGTCATAAGTCTCTACTAGCCAATCATAAAGCTTATAAGTACTTGTTCGACCAATAAACGTAGACTAAATAACCCAGAATGGTTAACCCAGAGCCAGTCGAACATGCTATATGAATATCGGTCCTACTCTCGTTATCGTAAGCACCCATGAAGTTATAGAACCCTAGAATTCTGAAAATGGTGAAAGATCCTGCATAACAGGAATGTATATCAATTCGGAGAGAACTCTAGAATGATGCAATTTCACGTAATAACTGCATTTGTGATGTTTAGTGTATGTATACAAATGCATTGCATACGATTAAAATAAAATGCATTTGTATCATGCACATTTTATTGTAATTTATGAACGGTTTTTTTTAGCTTCTTATGTTCATGATGCTAGGTACAGCTAGTATTCGAGAGAACGAACCTAATAATAGGTTAAAGTAGGTGTCTTTCTATCTACAATGCAATTGTACGATGTATGAATGGCAAGTTGACGCGATCGTATGTGATCGTAAGTAATTTCAACAGTTTGTCCCAAATAGAAACAATAGTTACGATCTTTGTGCATTTTGGAAACTGATCGAAGACAAGTCATATCTTGAGTGTTCCATGATATTTGAAAAAAATATAAAGTATGATATATGGTGAAATAAAGAAACATGAGTTAGATATAGAAACATGTTCACACAATTTTCATTTTTACATTGTAGGTAGGCTTATTTACCTATATCGGGATAGTGTGAAAAATTCTTAATTTTGTGGTATATAGTCAGTGTCAAACACAATTCAAATTGCCACAGCAAATACATTGTTACAGCAAGTATACATGTAAAAGTAAACTTGCTGTTTACTGTCAATATCAGTACAATAGTTATTTATAGGATAATTATTTTGTTTTATTATTTGCAGAAATTAGTACTGTGTTATGCCAAGATGGAATTGGCAAAAGAAACTATCAATGGTTTAACAAATATTCAAAATAGCAACAGTTTACCTGAAGAAATATTTCTACAGTTATTAGAAAATATAGCATCTTACATTTGTAAGAATATTAACGATGCAAAAAGTAAATTATATTACTTTAACTCTACAGACTATACACACAAAAATAACGAGACAAAATTGTTTATAAGTGTATGTCTTTTTTATGTTAGGTATCGCTGCTATATGTCCATCCAAGTCAGATCTGATAAAGACTGCCATGGCAAATATCTTGTGTCTCTTTATAGAGGCTGCCAGACATGATTATGATGAAGAAAGCTTAAAAATTTTTCTACATAATGAACATATCAGTGGGCAAAGAATTGAGAAGCTATGTAATACTTACATAAACAATAAACAAAATATTCAAACCCAACTAGAATTGACAGGAAACAGCATTCCACATATAGTGGATATAGATTGGCGTTTATATCATTGTGTAAAGGTAAGGTTTTTATGTTCTTGACAAAGTTGATTGTTACTTTATATAAGATATTTCTAAAGTAGTCATAATATAAGAATATTATTTTACACAAATTACATTATAAACGAAGTTTTTCTTTTGGATACAGTTTAGCACTTGTCGCTCCACCAATGTGCCAATTTACAACATACAAATGATTACGAAAAAATATAGTGAAGTAAAACATGTAACATTTACATGTACCATACAACAACTCCAAGAACTGGTATATAAGCTGAAGGATATTGTAAGACACATTGAAAAGATGTCTAATATGTAAATGCTCAATAGATAATTACAATTTATAATGTAGGAATATGTAATATTCTTCTGTCGCTTTGCTAGAAATATTAACATATATGAACATACATATATGAATATACATATATGAAGGATAATGTTTTTTTTTATCAATAATACACAAATTGATACAGGTGCAGTCAATTATATTTTTGCATCATTAATGAAAAGAATATCTCCTAATCCATTTAAAATTATTATTGTATTACTTTTATATGTATTTATACATGTATATGCGCACAAACGCATACACATATATAAAAACTGATTAAAAATACAGTGTATCTTCCGTTCTGCAGCCCAATATTTGTCTAAAAATTTCTATTTTTGTTAGACGAAAAAAATACTATATCGTTATGCCCTTACTAATTAAATATAGAATTATATTAGTAATTAATAAATTTTTTTCTATCTCTATATAATAGATATATATATATTTTTTTTAACCATAATACACTATGTACAAATAAAGTGGGGGAGCATATTTTCTACAAAGATAAACTTATCTCTGAATGTTAAAATTTCTTAGCAAAACTTTTCATTTCCCTTTGTTCATACTTTTCTCAATCATCATCTTTGTTTTTTTTTTTTTTTTAATCAGTATCCACATTCGTGTAAACGCACAACAAAATGCAACATGCGTAATATTAGAAATAAAGGTACATAGTTTACATAAATAGGGGGGATTGAGGAAGAGAACAGCAAGATGCTTTGAAAAGCAAAGTACAAGAATAGCAAGGAAAAGAAAAGAAAGAATAAGAAAAACAGAGAGGAGAGAGAAAGAGAGAGAGAGATGTTACAATTTACGACTAACAATTTATGAGCACAATTTTGTTTCGTTAAAATATTTGTTTCACGTAAGACGAAATAACGTAACGATCACAGTATTTAATCGTTAACTAATATTATTTTTGACGTAATTATATCTCTTGTTATTTTTATTGTTCCATATCAATTACTCGATATACGATACGATAAGGCCTCGGACATTTCACTACCATTAGCAGTCTTCGAATATTTTCAAAATTACCCTCAGAACTGTGAATTCTCGCTCTGATCTTGACTTGGTCTAGAAGTAAGAAAGCTAGGATTTAATAATAAAAAAATGAAGTGATTAAGTAACGATCATGTGTCGCAGTAATCGATAATCCTCGCATTTTCATCAGATGACGTTTTATAATTGTATATATCACTCTTACAACAACGGCAATATCTTTCTCACACTTTGTGTTCCACCACGACTTTTGGTTCTCAGAAATTAAATTCGTTTTAATTTCTTTTTAATATTACCTTTTAAAGGTAATATCTTACTAATTAGCGTATAAATTGACACATCCGGACTCACGATTTCCTTTCTATATACTCCAGTATAGACAATGTTACGCTAAATTTATATTATGCAAATAAGGGAAAGTAAGTGTATTTTCTTTAGTTCCAAAGAAATATTAATCTGAAGTGTAAAAATATTAAATGTTGCGAAATAATTTTGTTTCCCGCGGCTACATCGATGTACCGTATAAAAGACAAGTTTCGTAATATTCTTTTTAATATAACGGGTTATTCAAAAATATTCAATACTGCGGACTATATAAATTTCATATCAATCTTATATGATATAAAAATGTATATAGTTTAGGTTTTAAATAACGTTATGTTATTAGCGGCTTGCAGAGATTCATCGGATATTTAACGATATTTCTTTTATTAACAAGTAACGAATATAGTATACACTATGTTCGTTACTTTCAATCAAAATATTTGTTATTGTTATCTATCATTTTTTGCAGTTAATTGTCTGATTCTGCATTTGCAAAATGCCTAATCTTTTAAGCTGATGGAATCATCAGCGATTCGACGAACTTTCGCAAGCCCCTAATAATTAATTCATTATATCTAACACTTTTCTCACACATATGTATGTGCTCATTATCGCGAGTCTTTTTCTGTCACATGTAACTGCGTGTGTGCGCGCATTTTATAAGTGTGTCTCTCCATAATTATGTTATTCGTCCAAAAATGTCTGTGTGACTGTGATACTTTTTAGTTGCTTAATATCTAACTTGCGAATAATTTGCGTTCATTTAATATGCGGGAGCGCATACTGTATGTTATCAAAATGATATAACATGTAATACGCTATGACATCAACAAATCAAGAGCAAGCGTATGCACTGAGAAAGAAGTCATATATAATCGACTAACATAAACATAAACTTTTAAAATCTGTCATTCAATTATTTAAGCAGAGTTCATTTATCGAGGTGACTTTTGCAAAATTTACATTCACGTTTGATAATGCTGAAAATTTCGAAGAGCAAAGATGCTCGTCAATGTCTCTCGCGAAAAGAAAAGTTTTTGCTTCGGTACTGTAATGCATAATAATATACATGTACATATGTAACGAAATGAGATAAACATGACATAGAGAGAGGCTATCCTACTTGAAACGTATTACTATATTTTTCTGTCACATATTCTCCGTTGAATTTGGAAACGGTTTTCCAACCAAGATACAACTAAAATAGTCGAAACTTGTTTTCTTGTCATTTAGATGTGCCTGGATATCTTAATAAGAGCAGATATTTATTCCGTAATTTAATTGCCATGATGTCTAGTCATGTTATTTGATGACAACTTGATGTTGTAGAACTATTACGTGTCGCTTTATGATCGCGGTGATTACTGCGCTCTTGCTAAAATCGCGGAGATCGATTTGAAATTTATTATAGAATATATGACCGAAAGGGCATACGATAAAAGTGGGATATGCCGTGTATCAGTGCTAAGCCAGATGCATTCTTGAATAGACGCAAGTAACGATATCGAGAATATATATAACATATTTATAAATCTGTTAGCGTATCTCTCGTCGTCGACAAAATTATTACTCGCCGTTCATGAATGCATTTTCGCTCAACACTGTCCTGTATACATATACATCTACATATGGACATGTGAGTATATGCACGTGTAATAACGGGAAAGGCTCGTTAACGATAATATCAATGTTAGATATGCGCATGGAAATTCTGACGGCCTCGTAATTATCGTAAACGTACGCTCATAAAATAATGTGCTCAACACAATGATATAATAACTCATTTATAATAGAAAATAATTAGATCTTTCGCGATTGCTATGTATTTACAGAAATATACATATTTCTAACATGTTTTCCACGGAACATTTTCAACAATGGCCATAAATGTCTACTCTTGCTCTCTTTTGCACAATGTCCGTGTAATAAGAATTCGTCGCCTATCCTTTGTGTGATCTTGGGTACCTTCCGATATTTTCTGCTTACGCAAGTGACATAGGCGCGCTTCTTAAATATACAATACAGGTATGCATACTGAATAATATGCATGTCGATCATTAAGGTTGTTGGGAACGACGTTACAATTATTGGCAGTAGATATCAGAATGCGGACTATATGTCAGCCTGACTGCCGATTCTTTCCTTCCGAAAAAGCCGTCATTGAATCGTCGTGTATCGAATTAAATGCAGCTCCCATCGAATACACGAGAGAAAGAGAAAGGAGAGAAGAAAGTGAGTAAGTGAATGAATGAATGAATGAATGAATGAATGAGTGAGTGAGTGAGTAAGTGAGTGAGTGAGTGAGTGAGTGAGTGAGTGAGTGAGTGAGTGAGTGAGTGAGTAAGTGAGTGAGTGAACGAGCGAGCGAGTGAATGAGTGAGTAAATTAGTGAGTAAGCCAATAAGTGAGTGAATGAGTGAATAAATGAGTAAGTGAATGAATGAATGAATGAATGAATGAATGAATGAGTGAGTGAGTGAGTGAGTGAGTGAGTGTGAGTGAGTGAGTGAGTGAGTGAGTGAGTGAGTGAGTGAGTGGGTAGGTAAGTGGCTGAGTGAATGACTGAACGAGTAATCATGTAACTTTCATTTATCTAAGAACGATTCGCGATTACGTCTCTGCCTTGTTTCTTTGCGCCTCAGACTTTTTGCCCTGTATCTGCTCGCTGGTCTTGCCGAGATCTTCAGCCTTGGAGTCGTTCGCTGATGAATCGTTGACAGCGGCTTGAGCGTTGCTCTTTTGAATACTATTTCGTTCTCGTGGTGAGGAGCGCTCCACTTGATTATCTCGTTCGGTCGTTTCTTGCATAGATGTTGTCGTCTTCGTCGTCTCATCGTTATTGTACTCCTTAGATTTCTTAGTGTTGAATTGTTCCGTCGTAACGTCACCATTGACTTTGGTCGTTTGGTTTTTCTCTTTCTTGTCGGCTGAATTTGCACTGTCAACAGTCTTCAGCTTGGAAGCTTGCCCGCTCTCTTCTTTACTTCGCGCAGCATCCTGCGCCTTTTGCGCCTGTGTGTCCGTGTCCTTACATTGTTTCTTTTCCGCGTTACTCTGCAAGCTGGAATTCTCGGACACCTCAACATTCGTAGCCGAGGGATTGAGCGATACCGACGAGGAATTCTGCTTGTTTTCCTGAACGTCGCTTGTGTCCATCTTCACGTTGTTGGAAGCGCCGCTGGTCAAACTGCCAGTCTTGGATAGGTTAAACGCGTTGAGTTCTCGTTGAGGTGATATGGAAACGGGCATGGCTACAGACATCGGCACGGGCACAGGAACTGACACAGGCACGCTCTTCGACAGGAGCAGTGCCACGCTATTCACTGTTGATGTAGCCGGCGACTGCGGCTCAGTTTTCCCTAGATTGAACGATGTGGACGAAATCGAGCTTGGCGACGAAGCTTTGGGCGATTTCGGTGACGACGAATGAGTGCTCGGCGGTATTCTCTGCACCGCCGGTGGCTGGCCAGTCACCGGCGAGTAACCGGTAGTTTGCGGTATGTAGCTCGATCGTTGATATAGCTTGTTGATCGAAGGTGGTAAACTACTGTGGAAGGCACTGGGAGGCGGGATACCGATAGGCGACCGTATTAAAGGGTTCGGGAACCGACTGGCGTCTGGAAAAGGTGGAGGAAAGTGAGAATATATGATTCGAGGATTCGTGTTGGGTGTAGGAGACGGTATAAACGGATTGGTCGACAACATGTTTACTGGTGAATTTCTTGGCGATATGGGTGAGCCAGTGCTCCGGCAGATGTCCCGCGAAAACGGAGTGTTCTGGTAACTCCGGGCATTCAACGAATAAGGCGGTGGTGAGACGATCGGTGAATTGACCGTGGAAACGATAGGCGACAAGGTCTTGGGATCGATCTTCATCATGTTGAGAGTGGCACTTTTCGTATTCGTCGTCGACTGTTCCTTCTCTTTCGTCTCGTTCGTGACACCATACATCGGTTTCACACCTGACGCGGGATTGCCCAAGTATCGCGGTGTGTTTCTCATCTTGAAGATCTTGGCCGGCTTTGATGGAATCTGCTTGCTTGTGCCTTCGGACGCCTGACTTTGATTCTGCAACTCTTTCGCTTGATTTTTCACTGCCACGTAGTTGTTCTTCGACAATGTCGGATTCCAAGTCTTGGGCGGGTCGCGTAGCGTCTTGTAGCCGATTGTGTGGGTCGATCTCTTGTGAGTTATTCTCACATGAGATGCCGACACTGATGACGTAGGCACGGCGGACGTCGATGTCGGCAATGCGACCTTAGCGCTTTTACTTTCCACCGCCGTTGTATTAGTACTCGGTGTGTAAATCGGGACGTTGGGAATATTCGGTATATGCTTCATAGTTTCCGAATTAGACAACGGCGTTTTCTTCGCTATCTTAAGCAGGTCCGGTATGTCCGACTTATTTCGCGCTTCTACCCTGTTCTTTTCTTTCGAATTCTCCCCTATCTTTGCGCAAATATCGTTGATTTTCGAGCCTGTCGTGTTCGAGCCGATTTTCGCGCAAATTTCATTCAGATTGCTGCCCTTGGCGGTCGCTTCTTGCTTGCGCAAAGTCTGCTTCATCAGAGATATGGGGATCGCATCTGGACATGGAGTTGAGGTTGATGTTGGCGTCGGTGTTGACGCCGATTTCGACGTCGCCGTTGATGTGATCGATGCCGTCGACGTGATCGTTACAGCGGTTGCAGCTTGACTCACGTTACTGCAGTTACTTTTCAAAGACGTGGGTATGGAATATATGCTCATCGACGGTGTTTCTATGACAAATTGAGGCATAGGAGACATTTGACTGTTGGATGTCGAACAGACCACAGTCGATGCTGTCAACGAGTTTTGGGATACAGAGCTATTGGAATTTTTCAGAGTCGACTTTATGTTAGTATTAGTTACCAGATCTTGGACCGTATATGGAAATGTCGATATCGTCTGGCTCATAGAAGTGTTCGGTACAATGGATGCATTTTCATTTGACGTGACCGTATTGTTACTTTGTACTTGTAGTCTCTGACTGGCCGCACCGCTTATGTGACTCGTTTTCGAGACGGATTCCGCTGCCTGCGCTTGCATAGGTGAATTTTTCTGCTCCAATAAATTTAAGGCCTGCTGTACGTCAATGCTTGCGTTCTGATTATTCTTTTCGTGGAGGGTCTCCGGTCTGCCAGAAACTTGCGTGGAGTCCACTGCCGAAGTATTCTGAGACATCGCCGCGGTCGATACGGTCGGTTTCTGCGAAGAGACTGCTGTGGAGCACGAGACTGACACTTTGGTCGCTGTGTTTCCGCAATTCGTTCGCGTTTTCTCGTCGTTGACTTTCGTATCTTCCGTTGGTGACTTTACGTCCGACTTCCTCGCGGGCTGAACAATCGCTCGTTTATCCTTTGGTGCTTTCTTGGAATAAGTATTATTGACTGGACCCATCTTCGGTTGAAATTGCAATTTTGCGCTCAACGCGTCGATCTTTGATCCCGCGTTTCCCACTTTTCCTTCGTTTTTCATGCATTCCTTCTGAGCCTCAGTCCTTAAGTCTGTACTATTGTTATTATTATTTATCGACTTCTTCGTTCGCGTATCCATCCCTGTAGTATTCTCAGCAACAGGTGCGCTCTCTTCCGTACATTGCGTTACCGCTTGACCGGCACCCTTCTGGCCTTGCGAAATCGATTTGTCCTCAGTGTTACTAGTTTGATTATAATCTTTTGCCTCTCGTGTGTCTTGTTGCACTGGAGTGGTGCGATTCTCCGTCTCACTTATCTGTCTTGTTGTCGCACTCCCATTGTGCTGAGCAGGTGTGCAGTTCTTGATAGATGAATTCTCGTCTGTAGACTTAGCATCACCCGTGACGGAAGAAGCATTGCTCGAATCTGGGAGATTCGCGTTCTTCGTTATCTGTGTCTCGATAACCACAATGGGTTGCATTGTATCTATACAAGATTTAGATACATCGCAATTTTCCATCAGTGAATCTGCTTGGTTCACCGCTGTAATCGTAGTGACGGTCTCATCTGAGATTTTCTGATCTTGCAGATTCTCCGCTCCTGCGTCTTTTTTGAGTACCGTATTCGATATATCGGTTATACTCATCACGCCTGTTTCCGATATTTTCAACTGCACTTCTTTCCACTCGCGTTTTATCGACTTTTCATCTTTTATTTCAGCAGAATGAATCCCAGCGTTTGTTAGCGATGTTTTATAGTTGATATTGTCCTCCGACAATTTTATGCGTTTTGAAGAAGATTCGAATATCCTGTAGCTTAGATGCAGTGGAACTTTCTGGAATGCAAAAAATAAAAATTAATATATGCAAATTACTTAATTGTTAATTATACTCTTGGAATATCTTGTCTACAATCTTTCACTTTACATCCGCATTAAAAAAAAAAGTTAAAATACAAATATCCATGTGGTTTTATATATAAGAAATTATTAACTTAAATGGGTACATACCCGCCTCCAATGATAAATGTACATTACATCCATTAAGGTATAACTACTGCATAAGGGCTCCTCTTTGTACATTATATCAACTCGGTGTGCATCACTAAGGCCATATTTGGCTCTGATTAATTTTTGTAAATGGAATACTGTCACTGCTGCGGGACATCGCAAGTATCGTTTCAGAAGTGGTTTTTGAGTCATGTCCTTAATAGTATTAGTTTCATTTAAATCCTGTGCGTGAGGATTAAAGTATTCCAAGGACAGACTGAGAGATTCATCTGGAGAATATATGTGCGATTCTACTGGTTCTCCACGCGCTTCTGGAGATGTCACTTGATTACGTACTTCTGGATGCTTCGCATAAAATTCTCTTCGACATCGCATTTCGTCTGAAAGAGGAAGTAATTGTTAGTGTGCGAAAAAGATAGATTCTTTCTTGTTAACTTCAAATGGAGAAACATACTTTGGTAACATCCAGGTACGAGTTTATATACAATATCTTGTAATGTATGATCAGGACGTATATTTAATAATGGCCTGCTCTTATGAACTTGTACCTCACATATTGGACAATACTTGTTGTTTTCCAAATATTTGACAATGCAACTTCTACAAACTATAAGAAAGCATATAACATTTTATAATAATGTCAAAATATCAGTTGTATGTCTCAACATATGCATCATAAAAAAGATACTGTACATGAGTGTAAACATTCTATAATAGTAGTGGCGTCGATAAAATAACCACTACATAGTCTACATGTCAATTGTTCATTAAGCTTGGATAAACGCACTCGAAGTCCACCACTCTGTCCTGACATCCTACAACAGCATACATATATATTTACATAATTAAATATATTTACAACTATGTATTTTTATTATACTTTGCTGTAAATAATGTAATTTAGATATTAATCGTGAAACACCTGTTAGAGTACAATTATAGGAATATACTAATAATTCTAAACTATAATCACAAATAATAATACACATATATAAATCTAATTTATTGCACATAAAAATATAATTAATCTTTTTATTATTAAATTAGAGAGAATAGGTAACTTTGTATATTACAATTGTATTGTATCAAATATCATAATATATAAACAATACATTAAGTCCTATTTATATTATTAGAGTAAGTAAACTAAAGAATGTGACAGCTGCTAAGTGCAAGTACAACAACAATTGGTCAGAAATAACATGATGCAACTGTAATATATGCATATGTACACATGTGTACACATATATGCGCGCATGGCGTGTATGTGTGAGTTAATAAGATTAACAGATTTAATTATGACATAATTTTTCTGCCGCCAAGTTTTTAAGGGAGGGGAAGGATATCAGATAACGGTGCAGATGAAAATTGAGGGAACATTAGTAGGCCTACGAATAACACGTCCGTCCGAAATATTTCCAACGTTCAATAAGCGTCGCGTGGAAGTGAAATAATTATTCGACGCTGTTTTATACGTACGTGCGGCAAACGCTTCGGATAGACTTACGTGATGAACCAAGCGAAAATCGTCCGTTTTATTTGGTAATCGCCATTTGGCCTCAAAAGTCAGGAAAGTTGGGTCAGATATAACTTGTCACGGATTTCCATCACGGTACTACTCTGATAAGTCGATTTTCACATTCCTCGAGCAACGCTATTTCCGTAAACAGACAAAAGTTTAATAAAACAATAATACCGCCTGATTTAATTCGCCTCAATGATTTAAATTCATCATAAAATAATGCACCGTACCACTGAAAACTGCGCGTACGGCAGTAAAACAAAATGGCGGATAAACAATCATACGTGTGACATTTCTAAAAACATTGCGCATATCCTACTGAACTTTACTAAAGTTGGCTCCACACAACATAGCGAGGTTCGCCAATATGATGTTGCTAAGTCACTAGTCACTTTTGAAGGTTATATTTTCTTATTTCTTATGGGTGCTTTCGAAATATCCAGAGTCGAATTAGTTCCACTAGGGTGGGACCCGATTGACCACGATACGATTGGACACAGATTGTAATGATTGGTTCGACCTAGTAATTCACTAGAAAATTCTTTTCATCGGTTGGTTGTGTCCAATCGTACCGTGGTTAATCGGGACGCTCCCGTTACTAAATTTGGTTGTTACTAACCGGTTTTAAATTGCCGTGTAAACTTAGTTTATGGCCGGTATTCATAGTCAAATCTTATATTTAAGACCGTCTTAAGTTTATCTTCAGGTGATGAACGGATTATTTCATTGGCTACGGAGTATCTGAAAATGAACTTAAGCCAACCTTAAAAATAAAATACGACTATGAATACCGGCCTATGATACGGGCTTTAAGATGGTCTTGAAATAAGATTCGACTATGGCTTGATTTACATCGTCAAAACGTTAGTACAAGTATTAAATTTGATGTAACCAATGCTTTAATACGGATGCGTTTACATGGAATGTACTAAGAGAAAAATATAATACGAATTTAATTCATGTCGTTTACCTCCTAGTGATGGTATTTGAAATTACAATTTGCTTGAGATAGCTTTGACCGAAAGGAAGAATGCATAATTCTAAAAATGCTCGTTTCTTCTTTTCTCCAATTTAATTCTTTTTTACAAGACATTTTACTATAATATAATTTGAGAGAAATCTATGGTTATCGATAACACTGTATTTTTTTAATTAGATTAGGTTCCTTCCAACATTTGTTTCATAAGTTTACATCGTCATTTGATACGCGTATTAGTTTAGTAAAATACTTCTACTTGGTACGCTCGCATCAAATTGATCCGTTAGATTGAAGTCCCGCAGCATGTATTTTCCATGTACCGCGTAAACACATAACCAATAAATTGCGACGTTTAGTATTTCTGTTAGAACTTCTAAAATAATAGAAAGATTAGTTACGCGGTTACGCGTTACGCGAAAATACGTGCCATGGGACTCCACCCTCAGTGTTTACATCGTGCGTATTAAAAATATTTAGTACGAATTTGATACGAATATAGTACCTGATACGCGTATCAAGTGCACGATGTAAACCAAGCCATAGGTTTGTTTATAGCCGGGTTTACATCGTTCAATTGATACGCGTACTAAATAGTAACTTTCTATTAGCTAATTTTAATATTGACAATGTATATCAACGGCGACGCATTCAATCAATACAGTATGTTTTTTTGATGAGTATTATACCAGCTTAATATACTGTTGTTTATATATATCGTCGATATGATTATCTAATAGAAAATTACTATTTAATACGCGTATCAAGTGAACCAAGCCTATATACTAATCGTCAGCCAAGTCTTGGCACACCATTTTAAAAAATATGACATTTTTTTGCAGTTCTGATACTCTCTTGAAAAGTTCTAGAGCTCTATGCAACAATTTTAAATAGTTCTGGTCATTAAATACAAAAAAAAAGACTTTCAAAAAAAGGTGCGCTAAGTTCTCGCAGCGCACCTAATC